TAATGTATAATTGCTGTTAGTCTTGTACATTATTTTATATTTTTGTTCCATCCCTCTGTAAAATTGACCTTAATCTGTCAAAAGCTCTTGGTAAAAAGGATTCTACTGCACTCAATACCTAACGTTCCTTAATCACCTTCAGATGTCATGTGAACTTAATTATGGTAAATTCATTGGTGTTAATGTAGACCCCAATGTTGTCAATTTCCTTATTCTTAAACTTGTTTTGGGGTGATTAAGTACACGATGTTGAAATAAATGTTCAGAATCGTGATTTACCGTAGGTAAGTAAGAAGTTAACACAAAGCAATGCAGCAAAGCACGCATTAACTCTTGCTCAAATGCACTCAGATTTATGTCCTTTCACTGCTTATAGGGAGATGCTGGTGAGGCAGGTAATCCAGGCATTCCAGGGGTCAAAGGAGCTGCAGTAAGTCCAATTTTTCCATTCTGCCGATCACTTACAGGTTTTTTTTTGTGAGACAGGACAAATGTCAATCTCAAGATAGAATCAATTTCAATATATATGCAGGACCAGTTTACGGAATGGTTTTGCAGTCAGTAAATTTTCACCCTTGTAGCAAGAAAACAAGTTCAAAGTACCCTGATATACAAGACTGTGAATTTCTTGCATCAAATTTGATTAGTGCAGTAATGATAAACTTTATAATGATCACAGTTAGGCAGTAAGGCTGCCATTTTCAGTTATAGCAAAAGTTATGCCATAATATGTTGCATAAATCGCAACTGTTGCACATGGCATAGCTTTCATGAAACAAGTGATTAATTTTTGCACAATTTACTCTAAAATCTTGTGTGAAGGGAGTTGAGCTGTTGTGTAAAGTTTGGTGAAATAGGTGCTGGTCACCTTCGTTCACATGCTTCTGTGAAGTTTGAAATTTTGTTTCTCCCTCCCCCCCAATATCTTTTCTGCTTGACAGGGCTTTGCCGGTTTACAAGGTCCCCCAGGCCCACCTGGACCACCAGGCTTTCTGGTACAGTCATCTCTAACGGAGTTTGTACTGTAGAGAATCAATTTTATCCTATGTAGGCGTGTTTGTGAGTGTGTCGAGACTATCTGACAATCAGTTCTCTCTTGAAACCTGAAAGTTTATATTGTGTTGAAACAATTTTATCATATCTTCATATCATTGCAGCCGCTTAATTTCTTAAAAAATGGTTCTAGAACTTGCCTGATTAGTCAGTAAAGTTGTTGATCTGCATTTCCTGTCCAGTAAAATGTTCACAGTGCTTCCTTTTTACAATGATCTCTGGCGTGCCATGTTTTGCAGGGTCCGGAAGGTCCCTCTGGTAGGCAAGGTGACCCTGGGCTCCCAGGTCCCCCGGTAAGTTCATTTGGTAAGATGAAATCGTGTGTGCTGTGATCACAAGCATGTCATGATATACCCAGGCATGCATGACAAGAAGGTACACTATGCAAGCAATTTCAGGAATTTGTTACAGATGCCCCCTGCTTCTTACTCTTTCTAGTCAATTGTGAAAGCAGTTTAAGAGTAGGTCTTGTGGAGACGTTGAAATTCAGCCCTCTTGGCTTCTCTCTCTGGAGGTTATATCTATTATAATGAATATTGATTCCTCTCTGATTTGTCAAAGAATGCCTGCGCTTTTCGTAATAATGTTTTTATTTCGACTTATTGTTTTGAATAATCTCTGACAGGGTCATCCTGGTGTCCAAGGAACAATAGGCCCTCCCGGGTCACGGGGACCGGATGTGAGTCAATTTTTCCCCCGAACTGGTTGTGTACAAACAAGACAAATTGATGAGAATTTTGAAGTTAACAATCTGACATGTTTAACCTGCTGTCATTGCTTCATGCCTAAGGAACTGTTGGTTGTTCACTGTTATAAGTTTGAGAAAGAAGACGTTTCGAGACCACCACAAAAGAAAAACCAGTTCAATATTACAGATATTTGTAAGAGGCATTCAATATTTCCCCAGATCAACTGATTTCTTCATTTCTTACTTCTCATAGATTCCATTGTAAATTGGGAAACACTAGAAAATCTTGTGCAGGTGGACATGTTGGAAGTTCCCTTGCATGCCTGTCGTTAACTTCATAACAGCTTTTGTTGTTTGAATTCGATCAAAGGTCGGACGTTGATTTTGTTCTTGTATTTCAGGGACCTCAAGGAGAACCAGGACCAGCGGGAGACCAAGGTCCTCCAGTAGGTACCCAGTCAACGACCCTTCATCCTTCCCTGCCTCCCCCCCCC